ATAAACTCAAATAGCTCACAAACGTGTTTATTTTACCACACCATCAGAATAGTTGTTGAACTTCTCTTTTCTTGTTATTTTTCATGTAAAAACAGCTTTGGGAGTTGCTTCCTTCAATAATTAAAAAACTTCTAAAACACTGTCGACCACCATCAAGTTGGGCAGCACTTTATTGAGCGGCCAACATACTACTGTGCTAACAAAAAATGCCATATGAAAATTCGAGTGTTGCCAAATTTCTCCGAATAAAACATGTATTTTTGAGAAAATTTGTGCATATTTTTCCCTGAAATTCTCGGATATGTTAGATCAAGTTGCGAACACAATTATCTGAAAAATTCATCAACAAAGATCTCAAAATTTTTCCGGTAAATTCAGCGTTCAGTACAGGGAATCTTCCAACGTGTAAAGGCTCATACGGCGTTTTTCCATAGCACGGCAGTGTGGAGCAGGGCGCGTAATATTTGGACGTATTTCTATCAAACGGATCTATGTGCATTAAGACATGAGCCCTGGAGCCCATAAGAATATATGCGTAACAGGGCTCACGTCATAATGCACATAGTTTCGTTTGATAGAAATACGTCCATTTTATCGATGACCCCTCGCATCCGGCGAGCCGTTACCTGATATTGTTTTCGCAACTTTTGGGATGCGCGTGTCAGAATGCACGGGGTTCGGTTTCGGAAGCGCGTGGCTCCCCGGAAGCGATCGCTCGCCGAGACAAACAAAGTTATATTTTACCTGACTCCAAGATGACCAGCCAGCTGTCCGACCCCAGCTCTCTGTTGGCCTGCGATAATAAATACTTCGCGTTGCAGCAACTCATTTTAAAAGGAGATTTCAGAGGTTTTAATTTTAAAACAAAAGGTGAGAATCTTCGGATGCACCATGGAGTGAAACATTTTAAAACCTGGAGAGGGCTCCTCTGCAACGCTAGAGCATTTTAAAGAAGATTCATCTATCCCAATACAGGAATTTTTAACCCTTTTACAATTGTTGATTGTCAAATTATGTATTAGACTGTCAAAATTATTCTTTTTCCCAGCAATGATATAATTTTATTCCCTCATTTTTTTGCAAAATATTCCTTATTAGGTTAAATCGGGTGCGTATTAAAAAAAAACATATGTTTCCTTAAATGTAATTTCCTATGTATACAATTAGGAATACAAAAAAACGGATCCATACCAAAAAAAAATATCTAAAGAATTTTCCAGGGCTAGTACATTTTTTTTGTTTCTCAAAATCACCCACGTCGAAATGGAATTTGGGCTTTCTGAAGATTTTTCAATTTTTTAGTATTATTATCAAAGCTTGTATCATAATAGTTACCAGAAAATGGTGTCATAAAAACAGTCCAGGTTCATATATGTAGAGTAAAACTTGAACTTGAAAATTAAATTCTTATCATACTCTAAAATGTTAAAATCGTAGAGTATAACGCGTAACACGTAACGCTTGCATTAGGCGCGAAGCGTTTACGGGGGTTGGACCGTAAAGCGGTCAGAGGGAGTAGTTCCTAGTTATCCTGAAGATGTGATGTATTTAACCCTGCAGGTAACTAGTATGAAAATTAAAAGGACTGTGATCATTGCGTAAAAGCAGACAAACCGGAAAAGGTTTTTTTCTGGTTTCCATTCGGTGTGGTGCATCAAGAGGGCACTGACACCAACCACTTCGTCTTTAGTCAAACTTAAAAAGTACCGTCTATTAATAGAAACTCATTAAAATTCAACATCGCAGCAAGGAAATTAACGAAATTTATAGATTGCGAACAGGCATGATGGCAAAAAACCTGTCCTGAGTACATCACTTTAAATTCTGACCCACTAAGTGAGGCAGATGAGGGAAGGGGGGGGGGCTCAAATGTTGAATTAATTCGATGCGTTTCCGTAGAGAAAGAAGGATAATATTGATAAAAAAGAGAAGAAAAAACCTGCAAACTTTCCGAGTTAAAATGACGTAATGTTCCGTTTCTCATTCCCAGAGACTTGAACGAATGTACAGAAAAGTAAACGGCCAGAAAAAGAGGTCCTCATTGAATCGTTCGTGGAATATTGCGATGGTTTGATTACATCAATTGATTTTTCTTATTACGAGAAATTAAATGCAAAATTAGGCTGTTATGAGTTAAAAATAGAACAAAAACTCAATCCAAAATACTGGAATTGATCTTGAGAACCTATACACTAATGGGAAAATAAACGCCAAAATTTAAAGGATATTGTTTTAATTTTCATAATTTGACTTAACACGTCAGTAGTTCGTCACATTTGATAGAATTGATAAAGAAACTGCAGCAATGCATATCTCGGTTTGCGGCGTTGCAAACTTCCTAATTTACTTTATTTTCTACATGGAAAACTGCGGAACGTCATTTCTTGAAATCGTCGGTAATTTACTCTCTGTGTGATAAATATTCTGTGAAATTTTGAAACCATAATGAAATCCAATCAACATTAACTCTCCTTTTAAAAAATGTGGCTTTTGCAAAGATTTTGAACATTGCAACCGAGATACGCATTTTTGCAGTTTCATCTTCGATATTGACCCTCGATCTGACAACGTCTGGTATTAACGGATGAGGTCCACCCTTCCACTCTTCCTTTCATATAAAATGGAACTTTCGTTACAGAGCAGTAAAATATACTTGAGGCCCGATTTGCTTTAACTTAATAATTGGATACTTGAATAAAAATTTGCCGGATTTGATGAAGTTCAATGAAAATTTACAGTGACAAAATTCAATCGAATGAAGTCTCTAAGTGCGATATTTTTATCATTCTGGTTCACAAAAAAAGAAACATTGTGAGTTCCGATCCAGCAACGTTCGGGTTGTAAGTACATTCTGATTGAAGATATATTTTACTCTCTTAAGAACATTACTGATTTTCTAACAACCTTTTTGGTTAACGAAAAAAAAAAACGNAAAAAAAAAAAAAAAAAAAAAAAAAAAAAAAAAAAAAAAAAAAAGAGTTTTAAGGGAGAAGAGGAGTTCAAAGAATGTCGGCGAATAACTTTTTCCAATTTGATATCATTGCTGGACACTGAAATTGATACACTCCAAGAGTTTTGAGTGATGAAGTTTGATATCGAATGGAATCGATGATAACACGGCAAGAATACAGTTTTTTTGCAATTTTGCCAAAAGCAATTTTTTCTGGAATCCTTGTTTTTTTTCTTTTACCCGAATTATGATATGCTCATGGATTTCGGTAAATAATCTTATTTTTTTCTTTCTTCAAAACAATAAACAGTAGGGGAAAAAAGTTTTTGACCATGTTTCTCCAATTTCCCAAGGCATCCTCGGGATGATAATAACTGTATTAAATATGTTACAATTCAGACTGGAACAGGACCAACATTTTTGACAGAACTATGATGTGTTTTTACACTTGAAATGGATGGAAGCAATGGATGAGTAGTACGTGGTTTTTCCATTTTTTTCCATTCTCTTTAATTGGACAAATTATGTTAATCATTTATGAATTTGAATTACACTTAAAAATTATTCCAATTGTTATAACATGGTGTCAGCCCTTAAAACGCTATAACTGACGAAGTAGCTTATAAAGTAAGCTTGAAATAGTTTTTTCACACGCCGACTCATAAAATAACATAAATAAATGTCGCTCTCTTCAGCAATTAATTTTTTAAATTTCTTCTACATTCATGCAGAGCTGAAAAAAGTTCTGAATCTACTGTTTATTTTTTTATATTTGTTGATAAAATTATAAGTGAGTACGAGTATATACTCAAGAGGAACCAGACTTGGTTTATTTTTTATATTTCGAGAGGACCGCGTTTTTAATTTGTTTACCCTCGAATGTAATTCAAAAGGAACAGTGAATGGCACTCATACGAGTAAATTGATTTGATTCTAAGAAAATAATGCATTTGAGCACGAATTAATTCTGGAACTGTAAGATGTATGTATGCTTTTATGTCAATAAGTTTGCAGTCGATACAATCTTTTATTGGTTTGATTTTTTATTAGTCTTTAATTTTTTAAATATGATGTAATATAAAAAAACTCATTGTTTTAAAAATGCACGTTTACATTCAAATGTGCTGTCATTGAATGTATCTAAGTTCAATGAATACACTATTGGAATGTAAGTTTAGAGATGGTCAAAGGAAATTTACTTGTGGAGAAGGGGGGAAAATAATTAAAAATTGTTTTACTAATAGTAATTAAAATTTATTTTAAAAAACTATACAAATGACTTCGTAATATTGCACAAGTGTACGACTACAATTTGCGGCAAATTCACTAGCCGTCACTTGGTGCATTAATTTCATTAACATAATGAAATAGGATTGAACTAGCCGAACGAAAAGGAGGTAACGAACAAGTTCGACTGGTAACGTGGAACATGGTAACTTCAGGTTGAACAATGATTGACTTTTTTTGCTTTTCCCCAACAGTCCCTTGTTTTCACAGCGCCTTGCAATGAGGGTAGTAAAGCTCGTCCTCGTTATGCACTTAATGGATGTACACGCTGAATGATTTACAGCCCGATCTTTCGTGGGTCTGTGAGGAGAGATACTTTCTGAAACACACAATATTAGAAAATTAATAATCACGCTAAAATTAGTGTTTTGTTAATTATCATCATCATAAATTATAACCTTTTCTCATCAGGACATTCTAACTACTGTAATTGTTTTTCAGTAAAAATTTACTTTTAATGAAGAGACGATAATCAATCGATGAAAATAAGACAAATCCAAAACTTTTTCAATCTATTTTTCTCTTCATTTTTATTTTTTATTCAGTTATGTCCTTATATTCCTAAAAATATTGTCATTCAAAGAAATTGGTCGTTGCTTTTTTTAATCTTCTATTTATTAGACTTTAACTCTGACTACTAGACTCCATTCAAACAAAAAAATGTTCGAAAACTACACGTGTGTTGATACTAAATTTATGAAAGCAAAAAACATGATCAAAAAAGGATGAATTTTAAATAAAAAGTGATCGACGGATTCTTCACGTCTTTATGTAAAGAAATTTGCAAACTAAGTAACTTTGAACTGACTAAATGAACAAATGACTTAATAAAGCGATTCATACCTTTGAGGGTCACATCTCAGTCTTTTAGAGATCGCACGAGTATTAATTAATCGTTTTTCCAGGCGTTGGCGTCGCTGGAGGAACCATAAGATCCGCCGTAGGAAGCTCCACTTCCGTACGATCCACCATAAGATGAGCCGCCTCCATAAGAGGCTCCGCTTCCGTAAGATCCTCCGACAGATTCAAGACCACCAGATCCGTAAGATCCACCGTAGGAACCAGATGAGATGCCACCGTAAGAGGCTCCAGATCCGATGGATTCAATTGAGCCATGAGATCCGTAAGAGGCGAGAGATCCAGCACCAGATCCGTAAGATCCTCCGTAAGATGCGCCTCCGAGAGAAGCGCCTCCGTAAGATCCAGTGTCATAGCCGGATCCGTAGGATGCACCTCCGTAAGATGCGCCTCCGAGAGAAGCACCTCCGTAAGATCCACTGTCAAAGCCGGATCCGTAGGAACCGATTCCAGCGCCGTAGGATGCGCCTCCGTAAGATCCGCCGAAGGAGCCAACACTGCCTACGCTACCAGCGCCGATGGAG